TCTAAGCACTTCATGTATATTTATGTGTCTAATCCACAAAATAATGAGCAATATAACGTGTTCCAGAAGGAACTGGTAAGTGACAGGTGCATACAGACAAGATGAATGGAAATAAAATAATAAAAAGTTTCTTTTGTCAACAAAAGGTCAATCACACTAAGAGCAGTGCCAGTGCTCAACCACCTACTAGGTTGCAGCTTCTTCTTTCATAGGTTTTACAGCTATGATCTCATTCAAGTGGTTACATTTCATTTCCTCAGTTCACATAACCCATGTACAAATTATAGTAACAAGACAGTTAACTTTAACCCAGACATAACAGTTCCTTGTAGTTAGGGAGTTTACCTTAAGATTGGTCTACCTATCTATTCTAGTGCACAGGAAGTGTTCAAGGTTAGGGATGAGGCCAGATGTCCCATTTCACGGTCAATGTCTCCAATTTCCATTAATTTTGAACTTAACAAAGCAGATTGCTGTTAGAGACAGCAGAAGTCATTGTACATTTTCCTAACATTGTGTAGGCTTTTAGATTATTTATAAAAGTTCTCTGTATCATAACATAGGCACCATTATCATGTTCTTTTTAAAGCTATGTTAACTGAGGCACAGAGTTTAAGTAGCTTATCTAAGATAATGCTATTTTCCATTTACATCTCCTTTTCTACCTGTAGGCAGTGCATCCTGATTTTTCTACCAAGTTTAAAGTTTCCCATATGATAATCTATTTAATAAATGTTATGTCCTCAAAAATCTACATATCTTGAGAAAGTACTGAAAGTACTGAACTTAATATACATATAAACAACATCTCAAAGTAAATTTGACCTTATATGTTCTTGTATATCACTAACTTTAGACTATACTGTATCATGAGATTCAAAACAGAATTAACTTTTGCTTTTAAAATATCATTAATGTAAACTTTAGCTATGTTAATAAAATGGATTTCACAAGTAGGTAGGAAGGTAAGTGCATTTTAATTACCTCAAATGTCTTGATTGACTCCTACTTTTAACAATTTGGCGATAAAGATTTAAATATGCTGTAGAGAATGTATTTGCTGCCTTTCATTTGGGTTACATTGCTAAATATCACTGAAATCCAATGAAATGGAGAGATTTAGATCTGAATTCTCAAAGGATTCTAATCCCCTTGATAAAAGTGAGTAAAACTAAGGTTCTAGGCTGTAGGCAGCATTCTTCCCACATAGACACCTGCTTCCTGGCTGCCGGCTTCTTCCCCTTCCTGGTCCCCATCTCCCAAGGTGCAGGGGAGGACACATTATAGCAATAATCACTTTTGAAAGTGCCTAGAGATATGTGTCAAACACCATTGCTGCAGTCAATCTTTTTTTTTTCTTTCAGTTTTTAGTTTTTCCTTTGGTTCTGAGCCCCAGGAGAACAGTTATGGTGATGGGTGCTGGTCCCTCCAGACCAGACAAGGGCACAAGAGAGACCAAGGCAAGTCCAAAGAGTATTTCAGAAGCTATCTCCTCCAATGAAGCACAGGGTTTAAGTAGCTTATCTAAGGTAATACTATTATTTTCCATTTACATCTACTTTTCTACCTGTAGGCAGTGCGTCCTGATTTTTATACCAAGTTCAAAGTTTTCTATATGATAATCTATTTAATTAATGTTATGTCCTCAAAAGTCTCCATATCTTGAGAAAGTACTAAAAGTATTTTGAGCTCCAATGAGCTGAACATGGGCAACCTCTTTAGAAGAAGGGTCAGAGGTAATGTCTATTTCCCTTTCTCGTGAATGGGAATTGTTCCTGTGATTTGGTTTCACAAGAAATTACACCAGTCATAAAGCCACATCACTTCCCACAGTGGGCCCTAGATTTGTAACCTCCAATGCACGCCGAGCAGATAAGGCAGCTGCCTGCACCAAGAACAAGATAAATGAATGCACCACCCTGGACTAAGGGGCCAGAAGATACCACAGGTGGAAAAGAGCCTCCCAGATGACCTCAGCTGATACACAGACTCTTAGGTAATAAATGTTAGTAGCTATTTAAACCACCAAGTACTGAGGCAGTTTGTTATGCAGCAAAAGATAGTCAGCAACTTTGCAAACCCTCCTAGAGGTCCAGACCTCCGAACCTAATGCTTACTCGCTTACCTGACAAGTCAGAATAGAACCAGAAACATCTAAATAGCTAGATGGTAACGAGAAGAGTGTTTTGCAACACAGTCACTAAGACTGTGGGCCCTGGAGGCAGATGGACTATGTTTGTATCCTGGCTTTTTGTTTTTTGCTAGCTACATACCCAGAAGAAATAACTGAACTTTTCTGTGCTTCAGTTTCCCTTTGTACAAAACAGAGATTAATACTTCTCATCTCGCTGATTGGTTATGCAGATTAAATCTCAGCATCCATACAGGTACAGTGCTAAGAATGGGACCTGACACAGAGGAAGTGTTCACTAAAGGTCCTTTCCTAACGTTAGTTCTTCTGTATTCTGTTGCACATCCAAGGGACCCACTGCTCCCTGCTGAGGGATGGCTCTGTACTTAGGTCCACACTTAGGGACACGGAAACAGATGGACAGGGCCATCAGCGTGCTTTCTGTTTGATTCTGCATTCTGTTTGAGGACGTGAATCTCAACCATGCTACAGAAATAAGAAGGTAGTAAATGCTAATTTGGACTGGCTGCACTCCAGGGAGGGAGAAAACTAAAAATCAGAGCACATGCTTAGGTTAGGGGTCATCCAGAACAGAAACACTGCTCAAGGAGCCAATCCATGTCTGAGACCATACTACTCCTGGGTATAAGAACCCATTCTCTGGAAGCTGTAACTGATTTCAGTTCATCAAGAGTGCCAAGCCTTGTATATATTGGATAGTCATGGGAAGCTATTTTCACCTCTACAATCATTTCAGCTATTATCAAATTCCTATGAAGTTTCTTTCTAGATATTATTTTCACAGTTCAGTGCCAAAGTCAGATAAGGTTACAGATCATAGCACTTACATATCATAACAAAATTAAACCTAAGTGTGTCAGTAATATCAGACTAGTGTGTGGGCTTTTGTTCTCTTTTTTTTTAACATTTTCTTTTTGGGGGGCAGGGGGGACACCAGGGATTGAACTCAGGACCTCACTCTTGCAAGGCAGGCAGCGGAACCACTGAGCTAAATCCCCAGTCCCTGTTTCTTTTTTAAGTGGAGGATGAGGATCATATTATACAGTGTTTGGAACTGCCTTTGTTTAGTTATTGAATTTTTAATGAGGCAAAAGATAGTAATAGCCAATTCTTTTTTCTATAGAATTATAATTAGCAGACAGTATTTTGCCCAGGTTTTTATTTTTATCTTAAAATGTTTATGAAAGACCTACTTCTATTTATTTCAAAATTAATACCCAGTGAATTAATACATAGTGTCCAGAAGTTAGAGCTTTCAAAACACTTAGCATTCTGTGTTAGTGTTTGCACTCAGTGGACTCCTCACTGGAGCAAAAAACGCTCCCTCCTTTTATTTTCTCAGTATTTCAATTTCTAAAATTGCTATAGACATGGCTACATTAACCACACGCTGACCTTTGGATATGGTTCCATCTGTTTTTCAAAACAGCTATGAAGGATCCATAAACTGATACTTGAGTAGTTCAATCATTTAGAGGTTCTGGGAAAATGTGTCGAGTTTGATTCTCTCTTCACCATAATGACATCATTCATCCACATTAGCTATGCCTCCTCTTTCCAAATCATTCATAGGCCTCGGGTCAGCTCGAAGACATTCAGGTTTTCATTTCATGCTTGCTAATTATGCCTTAAATGGCAATTATCAAAGATGCTAATTAATTGCAAACCATATGAAGCATGAATAAATTTAAAACTATGAAATTTAAATTATTAGTGTAGTAATAAATCAGCTTCCAGGTTCTACCTGCAAGCACTGTGATTTTATGTATGTTCTATTGCTCAATGCAAACCAAATTTGGTAATTTGGACAGAAATAGAGAACACTAGATTGTATTACTATTTTGTCCCTCAGTGTTTCAATTCCCTCTTCCTTTTCCTTCTTTATATCCTTTGTCTCTTTGTTTTAAACCTTTTCTTTAATGTCTGCTTAGTTTTTGCCCCTATCTCACTAACAGATCTCACTGATTATACATAATTCTACTTTTTAAAAAGATGTCACACTTTACATTCCACCAGCCTATTCAAAGATCTTGAATCAGTTCCTACAAGAGAAATTAAAAGGGGAAAAAAATCAATTTTTCAGGACATTTCTGAGTTTATGGTTTGGTGTTATTATGTGACTTGGCATAAAAGTTTAATAATGCATACAATTTTAGTAGTGTTATTGAAAGTAACTGTTGGGGGTTATTCACATCCACTGTAAGGTTGGATACAGCAAAGAAGTGGCCAAAATTTAACTGTAAAAAATTTGGTATGAGAAGAAAGCTAAGCTGGGCATGGTGGTATAATTCCAGCAATCAAGAGGCTGAGGCAAGAATATCACTTTGAATTTGAGGCCAACTTGAGCTATATAGTGAGTTCAAGGCCAGCTTGAATTATAACGTAAGACCTTGTCTCAAAAAAAAAAAGGCTGGTTGAATTATGAAAAATTAGATTAGAATTAATAGATTCAACTAAGTTTCTATACCAGTAAATTTCACTTTACTTACATCTGTTTTCTATAAATGGAGCTCACTAGAGCTCAAAACATTACTAAAACTAATCGCATAACATTCCAAATTAACAAAATGGATTTAAATGTAGTAGATGGCATTTCACCAACTTGCCCCCTTAAACACAAAACTGGATGTAGTTTGACCAGTGAATAAGTTATGATGCAAAACATCTGATTAAAACTTGAGTTTCTCAGATAAAACATCATGGCTTTCTCAAAGCACATCACTACAAATTCTAAATCTTGGTTTTACTACAATTAGCCTTAAATGTTTTTAAATAGCATAAGTAAATGTTCTGAGTAATAAGTAAACTCAAGTGCATGCATGTTAACAAAACAAAGGTGAATGTTCACCTGGCAGGGCTGCTTCATTTTAATGGCTATGACGTGGTATCTATAGCAGCAGAGCTCACAGGTCCAGGAGCCTCGCTCGCTGATCCACTTTAGCAAGCACAGCTGATGTGTGTACCGAACCGACCCGTCACACCGGCAGGGGTTTAACAGCTCACCCTGCAAGGAAAGCATCCCAATGTGAATATCTGTGCCTCTCTTTGGAAATGCAATGCCTGCTTTCTCTTCTTTCAAAACCATTTACCAAGAAGGATATGACCCTCATGCTCTATCCCAGAAAATCAAATTAAAATTTTATACCTCTGATGGGAATCAAGCTAAAGTCTTTAAACTATTTCAAAGATATTGCTTAGAGTTATGACATAAATGTTCTCTGAACATACAAAATGTCTGCAAGATACAACTCCCAGTACCCTTGGGGGAAAGCTGTACTATTAAATCTCTATAATAACTTTTAAGTAGATGGTCAGATGCATTTCCTCTGCAGTTATTCTTAATCATTGCTGAAGAAGTGCATGGCATTCCAGAAAGCAGCTTGCAACAGCATTATGCTTTTTTATTTTTTCTAAATGTAGCATCATAAATATTGACTTAGGGCACTATATTCCTAAAAGCCTGCATAGTCTTATGCAATTTCCTTACTTTTCAAAATATTAAGCCTAATGTTTTTATCAGACCACACATTCTGTAAGAGTGATAATATTATTCTTTCTTCTGCACAATTACTGTCATCTTACTTTACATGCCCCTCTAGTGGTGTTTATACTTTTAGAATTCTGCTTTGAATACAATATAAAGTGCATGGTTGGCAAAATAGCTTTTCTTTCGATGTATTTTCCTGTTTTTTTTATAAAAATGGTAGCACGAGTCTCACATCTGTGAGATTTGATTGTCAAATTTTACAATAAGGAAAGACTGCTCTTTTTGATTGTGACATGACTCGCCTCCAGGTTTTATTCTCGGGCTATCCGTTCCAGGATGCATTAACAGAAAATAGACTTCACCTTACATCCTACGTTTGTTTCTAAGTGTAAACCAAGACTCGTGGAGTAATTCACAAGAGATACTTAGGGCCTTACAGTCGTCAATGCACCTGAAGAACGTGTGAATTGCAAAACCAGGTAGGGAGGGAAAAGTACGGATCAAATTAGTACTGTATTCGCCAGCCTGGGCTTCTTGGCAAGGGAAGGAGAACACCCAGGAACCACTCTTCGGGAGGCGGGACCCACGAACCGCCCGAGAGGGACCCGATGCGCGCGCTGTCCGTGGTACTGAAACCCCAGCCCGGCTCGCTCGGCCAACCCCGCTCTGGCCTAGCCGGTTGCCCACGCCCGGGTTCCGCGG